AAAGTCTGTCTACACTGGACGCGACAAAGCGACCGTTGCAAATCATTTGAACTTTGTGTCAGTACGTCATAAAGAGAACGAGGCATCTGTCGGGGATTTGTCACGCCGCGCTGCATCCAGTGTAGACAGCATCACTGATTATAATGGGTTCTATTGTATTTTGTTGCATCACGTCCGGTGTTGACACGATGTAAGTTAATGTCGCTGCGTTTGAATTTTCATGCCACATTATTTGAAATTAGAGCGGGCCAAACATTTTTCTCTCGCGGACCGCCTATTGAGGAACCCTGACCTATGTGTACAGTAAATGGTCAATGTGGCAATAAAAATGTATTAATACAAAAATTGGCATTGATGTCATATGTTGTTTAGCTTCATCAGGACTCTGTTTTAATTACAGTACCTGTACATACAAAACTGTCTATTGTAATATACCTGCACATACAATTGTCGATTTATATATTTTTATTCCTTATTTACTTGTTCTATTTTTTATTTTTTATTATCTGTGTTTTTTGTTCTGTCACTGTCATTCTGTTACACTGTGGAAGCTTCTGTCACGAAAACAAATTCCTCATATGTGTAAACATACCTGGCAATAAAGCTCATTCTGATTCTGATTCTGATTCTGATCAGCTGCAGCAGTGGCTTTGTTCCAAAAACCTAATGAGCTGCCTATGTAGGTACTGTATTTTAGGACAGTGTTTGTCAACCAACAGGCCTCAGTCTTTCAAGGGCCTACAAGATAGCTTAAAACTATTTAAAATGTGACTAAACAAGCTTTGAAATAAACTAAAACAAGTGTTTAGATGTTGGCTATTTGTCGGCACAACTGTTTTCAACATTGCTAATAATCAGAAATGTGTCTCGAGCAGCAAATCAGCATATTAGAATGATTTCTGAAGATCATGTGACACTGAAGACTGGAGTAATGATGCTGAAAATTCAGCTTTGATCACAGCCGGGAATAAATTGCAGTTTACAATATATTCACATAAAAATAATCTATTTTAAATAGAAATAATGTCTTACAATATTACCGTTTTTACTGTATTTCTCAAATTAATGCAGGCTTGGTGAGCAGAAGAGACTTTTTTTCAAGAATATAGAAAAAAATCTCTCTGACTCCAAACTTCTGAACGGCCTTGGAGTCAATAAGGTTGCGAACCTCTGTTTTATGCCATCCTGCTCCTGACACTAAAGTAGGCAAAATACATGCGTCCTTCCAGAATGCATTGCAACAAGCAATATGTGTCTTATGTACTTTTATGCTTACAAGAATATTGCAACAAGATTTCAAAATTAGTCACTGATGATTGTCGTTTCAGTTAGTCTGCTGACTTATAAGACAGTTCTCTCTGTAGACAGCAAAGCAGCTCTTGGTTTTGGAACAGAGTCTTTATGAGTAAAGCATGTGTAGGACTCACACTCAGGAAAGCGCCCGGGTCCCCTTCGCGTCCCAGAGATCTCCAGTCCATCGCGGTTCACACACCAGCACTGCCCTGCGCTGGCATGACACTGCATGGGGTCGTACTCGCCCTGGGAGTCACAGGTCGGCACATACTGACCGGGCACAGGACGGGGGCCGCGGGGCCCAGCGCCCAGAACGCTATCTCTATGCAGCTGGCAGCGCGTCTTCTCATATTCTGCACGGATACAAATACACACAGTTAACCCTATAAACCTTACCTACTGTACAATACAGTAGCAAATGTAGATTCTACAGCGTATAATACTTCAGCTTCATTCATCGCACCAAAAGATAAACTGCAGTGCTTTACAACTATAGGACAGGAAGAGCTAAATAAACTTATCACTGCATCTAAACCAACAACATGCCTGTTAGATCCTGTACCCACTAAATTACTGAAAGAGTTGTTACCTGTAGCAGAAGAACCGCTTCTCAATATTATTAACTCGTCGTTGTCTTTAGGTCCACCACTGCCTTCTGTCGTCTGATTGATAGTTTAGACATTTTTTATCAAGTTAAAGCTCTTTTAGTGTAATTGTACAAAAGTCCACCTTCAGCTTGTGCTTCACGCATCTTTTTGCTGTCAAATCTTGACTGATTTTTAGTAGGGATGCATAAAATCATGAGTATGTTTTGATTTAAAGGTCAGAAGCTATAGCTTACATGAACAAAATAATTACAAACATGGCACTTAAATTAAAATATTTTTTAAACAAATTATGAGCTCTAAAAGATTTTCAGAATTTTTACAACTCTTTTGCTTTAGACCTTTTACAAATGTTATCATAAAATAAAATGCTAAGGTTACCACCGCATCTTTCTGAAAAAAAATGCAGTGATTAATATATAGTTTATAATGCGCCATCTAGAGTTTCATGACTGAACTGTATATTTATTTTCAAATCTTCAATGTACTGTCATTATAAAATAACTTTATTATTGTTTATTTAATTCTATCAAATAAGTTCCTGTAAAAAACTAACCAAAATTAATAATAATTATATATCGTATCGGCATCGGCTATTGGCCAAAATGATTTGAAAATAATCGGCATATCGGATATCGGCAAAAATACAATATCGTGCACCTCTAATTTTTAGTAAATGTAAGAATAACTTTAGTAATATTTCCAGATGAACACTTACTGGACTGAAGCAAATTCGCTTATCTGATGAATTGAATCATGAATAATTTTTTTGAAAAATCAGTGAGTCTCAAATATGATTGTCAGACTTTTGAGGAGCATTTAGCATCATTGGATTGCATTGCATTATATGTTTTGATCATTTAAATCTCATCTTTCTAAGGCATATTATTGGAGATATAGAGTGATGTCTGATATTTGTATAATTTTATGTAAGAATCTGCTCTACTGTTATAAAGATCTCATTGATTTACATTACAAGCAGCAGATTTTCATCACTTTTTGTCCTTATAAATATCAGCATCTGTGCCCAATTGCATATTTTTGCTCAGTTTGGGCCTCTGAATAAAACTAAAACTAGTTTTTCTAACTATTCTTTCATATGCTTCAGTCTATATTATTGTATAAAGCGCTACATAAATAAAGGTGACTTGACTTTTTTTCAAGTGCTTTAGGCTTTACAGGGTTAAAAAGCACATAAACCTGATAGTAGTAGTGCATTTATTGTATACCTGCTCATGCTATTGTATTTTACATAGCCAGACTTTTGACTTTTGGTTTTTATTTGCAGTTTAGAGATTGTCTGGCTAACATGAAAAGCGACTGACCCACATAGTATGTGAAAAGTATTTGCAATGTCAACCAGCGGAGGCTCAATGCTAAAGTTAACCTGTCAAACATTGACCCCTGGGCTTATGTAGACAGTCAACAGATCCAGGATCGAACTTCATCTCTTTCTAAGAATTTCCAGTATTTCCACTGAAAATCAATCAGTGCTACAGCTCTGGGGTTAAATCTGAAACAGATATGCTCATGTGAGCTGCTGCGGTACATTACATCAGTCTAAAGAGCTCCGTCTGCTCGTCCCTGTAAAGCAAATCAGATTACAATAACAAAACTCAACGCTCTGCAGACTAATCAGTACCATTACTACCACAATCATGACAGAGCTCATAATCGACATGACACACTGAAGACAAACATGCCTTAGGCATTACAGGGCTCTCAAACTAGATTTTAAAGCATGTAAAATCATTTCAGTCTGAACCAGAATATAAAGTCATGCTCCACAGATTCTGTTTTGAATTATTAAGCTAAATCTCAGGAAAAGCTGAGTATCCTGACTATCCAGGTTATATTTTGCATAAAAATGAGGCCTATATTTAAAACAGTTTTTTTTTTTTTTTGGAAAATTAGATTTTCATTATTTTTAAAATACTATTCGAAAAGGAATAGACTGTAAATTTGAAGTGTTTACATTTAAAAATGTAATGGAATAATCAGGATTGTAAAAAATATTTTAGTATAAAGTCTATTATTATGCTCACCAAGGCTTATCCTATTTGATCCAAATATAGTAGAAAACAAAAATATTTGTATTTAAAATAACTGTTTTCATTTTGGATATATTTAAATGTGTAATTTATTCCTGTGATGCAAAGTTGAATTTTCTGAAGGACCATGTGACATGGAAGAATAAATTACATTTTACAATATATTTGTCACGATGCACACACACGAGGAACGAGGAGACGCTGGAGAATACGTTTAACAGGACTTTATTACCACCAAGGAACCAAGGGAGACGAACACAGGAAGACGTTCACCACGGACCGAGAACTAGGGACTGGGAACACTTTAAATACACACAGGAGGAGTGGATGACGAGACACACCTGGGATCAATGAACCATCAT